TTAAGCCACATCTAGAATAACCAGAAAGGGTCTTGAAATCTTGAGAATTTGGAAGCGAGGAGGTCATTCAGACCTTTGTACAAATGGGAGAGTAAGAGAAGAGCCAATGCCAAATCTCCATTCCTGGCTAAAGATATGGCAACTTGAACAAATTCCTTGGTGACTTGGCCGAATGGAATGCATAGCAAGTAACCAGAAAGTCAACAGATTAGGAAAGCTATGTGCTCGTCCTCTTCGACTGGCCAGTTTTCTTGTAGTGTTTGATGAAATGAAGGTGGGATGAAACAAATTTCTTATTGCCAGTGGTTTTGGTAGGAAAATGAAATTAGTCAACATAGAGAGTGGCACTAACATCATCTCCATGAGGTTTGAGGCCGGTAAAACAACAAATATCCCTTAGAGTAGGAGACATCATTCCACATTTCAGGTGGAGGGCATTTGTAGTTGTGGACCAGAAGAAAAGGGATGGAAAGAGGAGATTTGGATCAAGTATGATGGAGACCTTGCTGATTTGGATAATATCAAAGATTCCTTGTCTTCTTCATTGTGAGGAAATCTTTTCATCTTTGGAAAGACGATTCACCAAAGAAGTCCAAGAGGAATGATATGGTGGCCAATTCTTTATACTGAATGAGGGTTTTACTTTCTTTCCCTTCTTTAAAATAAGAGGGAACTCTGAATCAAAGGGAAGAGGGGATGTACTGGAAGGGTAGAACTTTGCCAACTCGGAAGGGGCCACACCTGCAAAGGCCAGTCCAAGTTCAACTGAAGAATCTTCAAAGGGAACCAAGGGAACGAGATGCAGCTTAGTAAGATTTAAGGATTGCAGAAGTAATTGGACTTGATGGCTTCGAGTTTTTGTTTTAGTATGAACTAAAGGGGCTGGAAGAGAGGAACTAGTGGTCTGTTTGGAAGGTTTCTTAACTTTGACAGGAGCCATGGTTCATAGCTTCCACAAAATTAGGGTTTGTGATTTTAGGGTTTGGTTGGAGGAGAAGAAAGTGGGAAAAAAGAGAAAGGTTTTGCGGTAATGGCAGGAAATATATATATATATATGCATATATATATATATATATAGAAGCAATGAAAGAGTTACGTTTATTGAGGTTTAGTAGTTGGGATTTTCAAAATTCAAAAGGGAGTAATGAAGATTAGGAAGTTTGATGGTTTAGGCCATAAATGGATAAGACTTATATTGGGATACAGATTGTTCCTTTTGAAAGTGGCGGCAGATGAAGATTGACATGGAGGAAATCGAGGAGCCAACAACATGTTGTATAAAAACTCTTCCTTTAATGATTACTATGAGTGTCCAATTCAATGACGACTTTAAAGGGGATTTGTTTGGAAAGTTCAAAATTTAAAAGGGAAGTAATGAGGTTTTTGGTTGTTAGCCATAAATGGATAAGATCTTTTTGGGATATGTTATACTTTTCAAATTGGCGGTGGAAAAAATTAATTAATGTGGAAGGAACCAAGGAGTTAGCCACATGAAAAGGTGGAAGTTATATAGCTATGATAGTTGCCTTAGAATTTAAGTGGGTCAAATGGCGGAATTTAAATCCCATGCCTTATCATCAAGTTGTTCCATAAAACATGGAATTTGAGGGGCATATGTTTACTCCATTATTTTTGCCCAATGGAAATGCGACTTATGGCGAGTTCCAATTAGCTTGCCACACTGAATTGGTGTTTTAAATGTCCAAAAGAGGAAGCATAGTGTGGAATTGGTGAAGGTTGATTTTGTGTTATCCACCAATAAGGAGGAAGTATGTGGCGAGTTCTAATAAAACTTACCACAATGGATTGTAACTCTTATGAATTATTATTAAAAGCTATGTAATATTACATAGTAATTAGACAAGTGGGTTAGTATAATCCTACCATGTGGGGTTTTTTATTTTAAAAGGAAAAGAGGTAAGTCCTATTAGGACTTGCCATCTTTAAAACAAGGATCCACCTCTTCCTATATGGAATGAATCGATTACATAGAAATACTATACTATATTCAACCTCATACACTTATCCAAGTCAAAGTTCATCCAACCAATGGTTTATTAACACATGACGAGTTCTACTGAGCTTGCCATGGTGCTAGCCACGATAGATCAATTCTTTTAAGAGTTGGTTTTATTGAAGGTTCATGGAAAATCTTATTTTTAAAGGATACCAATTAAATGGATATTTTCCATTTAATTATGAAATCATGGTTGACTAAGCAAGACATACGTGGGGCTGGATTTTCTCCTAAAAACTAGGAGGCTTCAACAACAACTTCTGACTAGATTAAACAACGTGGTTATTTACAAAGAAAGTGGAGTGATGTTTTCCAGAAATGAAGAATATATTTCTACATATATATACATATATATATATAGCCCACGATAAATAAAGGAGTTGCTGAAGGAAACCACGACGCCATAAATTTGAACCTGGAAGGAAATTCTCAAAAAAGGAAGTTATAGAAATTGAGGATGCCAATCCATGATGAGAAGGACGCTGAAATTAAGGGGTCCATGGCGTCATGAAGTCTAAAAACCAGAAAGGAAAGTCTGGTTAAGGGAGGTTACTGAAATCAAGGAAACGTGGGTGCAGAAGAAAAGGGGATGATGTATATTTATGCATATATATATGTATATAGATTCGTATCAGATACAACCCACGATGCTATGAAAAGAAAAGACTCCTAAAATCATGGGATACTTGGCCAAATATAAACACGTCGGTTGAAAGTGGTGGAAATTCATAGGGGAACTACCACTAACCGGGGGAAGTTATCAAGGATCATGGGTGACAAGGCTAAAGTTGATAAGATCGTGTCTGAAGTTAAGGAAAGAGTCGACAACATGAGGAAGAAAAACAGGAACGTGGGACACATGTAGGTTCATAAAGAAGACAAGTGGAAAACCCACTCCAAAACTACCCACGATTCAAGATTATGGAAGACTAAGAAGACATGGCTGGAATTATGTTCGGAACAAACACAAAGAAGGAAGAAGACAGAGAAAGATGGTTGTAAAACTGGGAATAACCACCAAGGACGTGGACATTTGGTAATTTCAGGCCAAGCCGCATGGAAATCACTGAGGTTGCCACATCAAACTGCAACATGCATGGAGGAGCTCTATAAATAAAACATTTAGAGCTAGTTTGCAAATCCTGTGCAAATCACATAGCAATACATCACTTCAATTACTTTACATTCATGTATCTTTACATTCATGTAATACACTTTCAATATATTTAATTCAAGTTCCGCACTTATCTTTCTTACTTTCCAGCACCTTACTTTGAAGTCATACACTTTCAATACCGCTTTCATTTCCACTAGCCATGAAGTAATCCAGAAGTCCTTTTTTAAGGCAAAAAGAACCCTCGAAGGTGGTAATTCTAGTCCTTCGTACAATCGCCTGATCCCTGCAATCTCCTACTAAATAATTATTTGGATATCTACTTTAGAACGATAGCAGTTCCTGGCACACCCAACACTCACCCTCCTTTCCTCACTTGGAAAGGACCATGGTTTTTAGGAGCCGAACACATATATTAATTATTTTTTAATTAAATTTTTTTTTTCATTTTTAACAGCAATATTATTATTGTTACCTAAAAAAATAAATTTTTTTTTTTCCAATTATTATATTAAATTAAAAGGAAATATAATTAGAGAATGAAATTTATAATATTTCAGTATATATATTAATTTATTTTTAAATTCGATTTCTTTTCAATTTTAACTAGTATGGAGTATATTATTGCTGTTAACTAAACAAATAAGTTTTTCCAACTACTATATTATATGAAAAGAAAATATAATTAAAAAAGGAAATACATAATATTAAAAAATCTAATTAGAGAAGTAAACACATTAATATATAATTTTTAAATCAATAAAAAGAAAGCTAATCAAAGAATAAAATATATAATATGTAGGGAAAACTACATTTCAGTAAGGTTAAAAGTACTAAATAACAAATTGGTTTATTTTAAAATTTTATTTTTTATTTTGGTTGACTTAAGCAAAATAATTAAATATACATATAAAATTATTATTCAAGTCCAAAATATCCTCCAAATACTTATTTTAGAATACCAAATTATTCTTCTTAAATTCAATAATTCCTTCACTCAAAAAATTTTAAAAAACCCACCAAATTTCCTTTTTTTTTTTTTTTTTTTTTGGAAAAGGAAAATGTTGATGTGTGTGTGTGTGTATATATATATGTAGATATATATAAATGTAAATAATTAGAGGACTATCAAAGATTCTTGAATCAGCATGTAAAAGAAAAATTAAAAAAATAACATAATCATCATCAAATGAAATAATTTTTTCCTGAATTTCTAAATGAGAGAATATTGTGTTGCTGCCAAATAAAATTCCCAATTAAATTGGAATCAGTCGACAAAGCCGATGATGATTTAATGTGGACTGTGGAGATTGGTCATGTATAGATTATATGGTCCCCAAATCCAACGGACGTGATCTATTTTGATCAAGCCTAACCCAAGGCTTGCCCTTATCACTCCATGTCCCCACCAAGCCCATGTTGATTTCACCTATGATCAATGGCCTCGATGTTGCCACCTAACACAACAAAAAACTGAGGCAAAGAACCCAACTCACAGATCTTCCTTGTCCCCTGCGATTCCATCCACCAAAGCTAATAAAGGCAGCCCAACAAGTAAAAACACAAAAGGGAGAACCATCAGATAAAATGTTGCTTTGTAAAAACGTTAGTTTTTATGGTAGGACGAAGTAGATTGGAAAAAAGATGGATTCTACTTGGAAGATGTTTAATAAAATTATTGTTGTAATTGATTTATTTATTTATATTTTGTGTAGCGTGTGAATTAGACATCTCTTTAATTATGGCTCAATTCCTGTTGTTTCCTGGTTAAAAAAAAAATTGTACAGAAATCTCAAGTTGTGATATGGTTGTTGATGATAAATAATATATGCATATGTAATGAACATAATTTAATGTAATGAATCACAGGTTACTCTTCCTGTTTTGGAGAAATTGTTCATTAGAAAATTAAATAGCATTACAGCTATATGGGACAAGCTATTACTCCCCGTCCAAGAAGCAAAAAATTCCTTTCAGTATCTCCAAATATTAAATGTAAGAGATTGTGAGAAGATGAAAAAGATAATCGGATTCGAAATAGGACAAGGAAAAGAAGCAGAAGCAAGTGATGAGATTGCCATGTTCACTCAGTTGAAGTTAATGGCACTTGAAGAGTTGCCAAGCTTGAAAAGTTTTTGCTACTGTGGTTCTGAAGTAGAAAAAACATCGGAAGAAGGCATTCCCCAAATACGAACTCTATTGAACTGCAAGGTACGTTCTTAAATAAACGAGCCAATTCCGAAAATTGTTAGGCTCAACTCTTTAAGCTCATAGACCATTCATGAAATGTAGGCTCATGCATGAGCGAAAGTGATCTTGAACACAGTGTGAAAATCAAGGCCGAACACTGAATATATCTTGGCTATTTTTATTAGACGAGGCGAGCCAAACAAAACCTGAACTATTTAAAATAATGAAGAGTCAAGCCTTGCATCTTTAATTTGGGAATGGATTTCAATAGTATTATCTTTATTTGATGGAAATATGTATATATGCATGGGCGTACTGAGTGACTTTTTCGCAGGTTGCATTTCCAATGTTGGAGAAACTGGTACTCTCTGATGGGAGCCTCTTTGAACATATTTGGAATTCTCAGATTCCAGCAAGCTCCTCTAGAAAACTAAGAGACTTGATGGTAACTCGGAGCAGCAAATTGTTAAATTTCCCTCCTAACCTGCTACAGAGGTTTGAGGCTGTTGAAGAACTCAGTATGTATGAGTGTAGTTCATTAGAAGGTGTAGTAACCTTCAACCGGGAAGGACTTAATGCCATAGTAAGACAGGGATTTCTGGTCTTCAACAACCTAACAGGTCTGGCAGTTGGTCGTTGCAACAGGGTGATATATTTGTTCTCTCTCTCAATAGCAACAACAGGTCTCGCCCAACTTCGGAGACTATATATTTATTCCTGTTGTTCGATTGAAGAAATAGTGAGAAATGAAGAAGAAGGAGCAAAAGATGCTATAGATAAAATTGGAATTCTGCTCCCTCGGTTAGAGTATCTGCGTCTCTACGATCTACCAAACCTGAGAAGCTTCTGTGAGCCAAATAATATTGCTTTTCAATTGCCATCCTTAATTCACATCTATGTTAAGGGGTATGACCAAATTTGGACCACATCAGGCACAAGAAAGCCAGTGACAAGTTTATTTGGTCATCATATTCACAAGACCCTTGAGCAAAAAATTAATCATGGTTTGCAGAGCAACAAATTAATCATGGAATGGCGACGGCCAAGAGGTAAATATGGAGTTGATAAAATTCTAATAAGAAATATGATAAAGACTATGTATTTTTATTAGTTGTATGAAAATTTGTCCTTGAATTTCTATAAGAAATTAATGACTCAGCTAATGCTTTCCATTTTGATATCAATTTCTAGATGATGAAACAAATGAAGATGAAGTTGAAGGAGAGAGCTCGGGGCAACAATTATAACACACCAAGTGTAAGTTCCTTTTTTCTCTTTCAATGCATTTTTTTATATAAATTTGTTGTTGGTGGCATAAGTTATGCGTAGTTTCTTAAATATTCATTTGTTTATTATCCCCCAAAAAATAAATAAAATACTTGTAACAAAGAAATGAGATTACAAAAGAGTTGGCATTACAATTGAAAAACACTTGATCAATTGTAATCCTAACTCTTTTATGGTCAATTAAAAGTTACACTATTTTGTGATCAATTATCAATTTTTAAGTTACTGATTTAAAAACTACGAAGGGCATAAAAATGATTTTGAGAATTTATGGAAAATCATGGGACACTTGACTCTAGTTTTTTAATTTTTTTAATTTTAATTTTTTTTACTTTTACATTGGCAAAAAATACACACATAACTCACACACCCACTTTATTCTTTGACTCTAGTATAACATTTGTAGTTAGTAAAACATTGTATAATATACCTAGAATACACATCCATATAATTTTGAAAAAAGAGAGAGAGAAACAAAGAGAAAATTCAAGTCAATCTCTGAATACCTTAAATAAAAATTTTACTTTATTGTGGAACCTCTACAAGCCCAGAATGTGTCGCAGATTAACATAATGAAAATTCATTTCAATTTTTAGTGAATCTTGATTGAATGATTAAATATCTTTTGTTGAACATAGTCAACTAAAACCCAGTTCTGACTTTTGAAACTAAGTGGATGGAACAAAAGAAACAAATGTTGTACAATACTTTAGAGAAACATGAGGTTGATTCACCGTTTTGCTGTAATATAAACTGTTGATGCGAAAATTCTCACGACTCGGAACGACAGCGTTTACCTACAAAACAAAGGAATTTCACCTCGAATGGCACCGGTGAGGTGCCAGCAGAGGACCCTCTGACGATCAAGTTAATACTTGTAATCGTATCACATAATAATTATGTATGTTCTCTTTAAGGGTTTTTTCTCGTACCTTTTTTAATGGCTTGGTGCCCTATTTATGGCTGTCGATTGAAACCAAATTGGTTCTACCGATATCGATGGTTGAGGTCTCCCTTATCATCCGCTTATGCGAGATCAGAAGAGATCCGTTTGTTGCCAGATTTGTCGAGGATATGATTTACTCCTTTGACTTTCTTAAATTGTGCCAAGGTTATCCTTACCCGGTTGAACCACGTCGTCTTTCCTTATCCTGGATAAGAAATGTAATCATTCTTATCCGATGAAAATCTTTATCTTTGATAACAAAATATGTCAAAAAGATCTGGCGGCTGGACAAGGTAGGTTAGGTTTATTTTTCTTTATCAGTTGCCTCCCATTCCCAAACTTGCTCGTCTAACTTTGGGAATGTAAACTTTATTTTATTTTTTGCCTTGGGCACTGTTCCCTTGGGAAGAGTGCCCGAGAGTACTATTCAAGTGAACAATTTTTTTTTTTTTTTTTGCCCTAGGCATAGTTCCCCCAGGAATAATGCCCGCGGGGGTACTGTTCATGTGAATAGTAATTTATTTATTTTTTTTTTTTCTTGGGGAATTTTTCACTTGGGTATTCTTCCCTTGAGTAATGATTCCTTGGGTACTATTTTTGGTACCCTTGGGTACTCTTCCCTTAGTTACTATTTCTGATACCCTTGGGTACTCTTCCCATGGGTAATCTTCCATTCAGTACTATTTTTAGTACCCTTAGGTACTCTTCCCATGGGTAATTGTGATACCCCCGGATTTCCGAACGCGGGTTGGCTAGGCCCACGCCCGATAATCCGAGGATATCAAATCAATTAGCAATAATCGAACACATAATACAATTAAGAAAACAGGAATAAATAAATTGCTGAAAAGAAACGAGAATAATAATCTAAAAACCTCAGAATAAAATTTTATTAATAAAGAATTATTCTGATATATCTAACTTCTCCACTTCTATTACAACTCGGGAATCCATCTAGTGGACCCCTAAAAATCTCACTAAACTCAAAAGACTGGAAATGAAACCCAAGTCTAAAACATGAAATAAAATCCTGGTCATCGGTGGAGTGAATGACTGTATCTGCTCAGCACGATCCAGCTCTAAGTCTGGAACTAACGAATACCTGTAAAAATAAGAGTGGGTCAGGCCCACATGCAAATTCTTCTCTAACTACAATCCAAACAGTGACTCGATACGCAGATACACCCTAGATATCTCAACAATAACTATCTAGTCCATACATATAGATATATCCACAATAAGGGACATTCACTGGACTACAGTAGGTATCTCAACCTGAATAGAAGGCAACATGCGAAAACGCATCCAAATGTGGGCATGAGTACCTAGACCTAACAGGGCATACCTCAACCTACTATAGCCAGCTACGCATCCACTGCATATACGCACCCTAACCAACGAGTCTGAGACTCAAGCTCATCTCGTGGTACCATAAACATATATTAAAAATCCATTCATATCCATCCATAGGAAATCCAATAAGTCGTTCAGCTTATTCAGCTGCACAAACTTAAATATAAGGAGAATTATGTTTTTCTAATTCGAACCTTTAATCCAAAATAGATAGGACTGAGTTATTTTGAATCAGTCTGTCCCTAGTATGCCACCGTCCCATACCGGTGCATACAATCCACAAAATCCATATAATTGATTGAACAGATAAAACTGTTCACCAATTAAAATCCATAAGATAGGAATGAGCGTTTTGAGCTAAACCATACCTAGTATGTCACCGTCCCATACCGGTGCATACAATCCTCTATATCCATGTAAATTACAACATATAAATAACAAGCAAGTAATTTATAGTCCAAAACCAATTATCTATGTCATTGCAGAATAGTTGATACAATGCCACAACAATTACAGTTCAAAACCATAATCCAATTAATTGTAGAATAATATATAAGATTCCACAATTAACATCTAACCCATGTAAATTACAACACATAATTAACAGTTTAGCAATTTTCAATCCAAAACCATCCCAAATACTTGCAGGAGACTATTTATAGTTTCAGCAATTTAAATCCAAGAGTTAAACCATGTATTTGCAGGAAACGGTTTAAAGGTTCAACGACTAGCATCTAAAGCATGCGTAGATCACATCTAATATATCAATGACTCTATCATGCATTACAAATAAGTTTTATAATCATATTATAGTCCAATCAATTGCTAAACTAATCTAGCCAATTTAGTTCCTTTTGTCCGATAATAGCGTACAAAATTGTATACTCGTATTCTGTTTCATCTTTTAGCACAGAGCCAAACACTATGCCACAAGTCCAATTGGTTAATTAAAATACTTCACCGTGCATATAAAATAAGTCTTAATAACTTACTAAATCCCATAACAATTGCTAAAATTTAATTAAGCAATTTATTTCTCTTCCATCCGTTAACAGCATAGAAAATTTCTTAATTTTATACTGTTTATCCCATTGACTTAGAGGTCAACTTTAATCAACTTAAGGTCTTAATTACACCCAAAATAAATTTCTTAATACCTCTGTGTAGACCCAGACCCATCCAAACAGTTCCCATGCTCCAACAGTTGCAAACAGATCGTAAAAAAAAAAAATTAGAAAACCACTATTTGAGAGCCTGCTCTAAATTCCAAGAGCAGGCTCTTTTAAGCCTGGAGCCGGCTCTATGGACTTTAGAGCCGGCTCAATGAGTTTGGGAGCAGGCTCCCACTTCCATGGAGCCGGCTCTCACCTCCTTTGAGAGCTTCCAGTCCCTGTTTGCTCCGTCCTCGTCCTTCTGCTTCTTCTCCGGCCTATGTCCACCCTTTAGTTGACTTCTAAAACTTATCCTAAGGTCTTATTAATACCAAAACAGACTCCCAATGGTTTTAGAACAACAATTTGAAATCAAATACAGAGATTTAACTAAGCAATTTACTAGCATGCTTAAAGAGCAAAACTAGAACAGATAAGAACGAATTTATTTCAGACCAATTTCTCAGACAACAGATGTTAAAATTTGACATATAATAATCATGCAAGATCCATTTAAGACTCAACAAATTCCCTAGAGTCTAAAATTATAACCGGACTAACAAGCTTTTCCAACAAAACTGAAAACAGATGTGTACGAATCCTGTAATAGATTCGATTACAACCTAAACAGATTATCAATATAACATACAATTAACATGTAAGTTTTAGTTTATAATTTATTTAACCCTAGAGACTACCTAGGTGCACAGAACATAAGCCAAAGAGAAGGAGAAAGTAGAAGAACTTGCCTGTAGCTTTGGTCTCAAAACTGTGTTGTCGTCTTCCTAATTTCTGGCAACCACTGACCACCTTCAAGCCTCCTACGGTTTTGGTTTAATCCACCACAACTCTCCCTTGGCCCTCTCTGTTCTCCTTCTAAGTTTTGTTCTGTTTTTCTCTTGCTTAGTTCTCTCTAAAATCTCCTCTGTATTTTCATTGTGCCGTGAATAGGGTTATCAAACCCTAGGGATGTATAAGTTATATATTTATAACCAACTCCAAATCCTAAGTCAATAAAAACCCTAAATGTAAATCCTAATTAATTATGTCGGCAAGCCCATAAAAATACTAAAACCCTAAAAGATAATTCATATACTTAATTTAATTAAACAGTTACGTCCATGCAAGAAACTAATTAATAATACAATTAAAGTAACCATAGCAACCAAAAAATACAATTAATTTAATTAAAATATATTTAACCAAATAAGGCAATTCAAATACAAAACTAACAGTTTAAAACAAATAAACCAATTAAACATTTAAGCAACTAGTCACATAAAAATACAATAAAGATAATTGAAATTCCAAT